GAAGCTTCGAGCCAACGCAAAGTGGCCAACGAATTGAAGCTTCGAGCCAACGCAAAGTGGGCAACGAAATGGCCAACAAATGAATTAAAAAAAAATCTACTGGCCAATGGGCAGCTGCCTCCACGAAAACAACGAGAAGGGACACTAGCAGTCAATACGCGAAAAGATCAACGACTGACCTTCGTCACGGCCGGCCGCACGTGATTGAAATTTTTAACTGTGGAAGCGACCCGTTATGCTGTGAAGTTCTTATTATCGATTATCTTCTGCCGCCATGGAGTAAATTTTTTAACTGTGGAGTAAAAAATTTAACTGTGGAAGAGACCCGTTATGCTGTGAAGTGTTCGCTACATGGAGTGACCTGCCTGTCCTCTGCTTTCTGGGGTTGAGGGGGGTATTGTTATCCCACGTGGAATCGCCTGTGACTGGTGACAGTTGCCGATTGACCAGGTGCTGCTCATCTGGGATCATCTGTGTTTGCGCTGTGGGTAGACGCCTGACGATGGCCGGTACACCTGGGACCACCAGCGCTACCCCTGACGATGGCCGGTACACTGGCTGACCGGCCAAAACGCATAGGGTAATAGCCAGTTTGAGCAGCAAGCTATGGCGCTTCGCGTCATCATTATTTACACTTGTATCAGCTATTGTTGAATTTTATACGAACTGAATCGGTCGGGGGACGTTGCTTTATTTCTTATCTTCCTCCCGTCCCTTTCCTCTTTTCTGAATGAATGGCTATAAGTGTTTTTCACTTGGCTTACATGTTGCTTGGAGTATTTATCTTATCTCTACTGTGGGTAGAATATGGGAAATTGGCAGTAAATGGCAGAGGCCATCTTCTTCTTCTTCTTTTTTTCTGGGAGAAAGGGCCCAGTGCCCAAGGCTCCAATTATGAAATTGATTACAACACTTGTACACACGCCTCTTCCCATTAGGGCTGGAAGAGCCTCAGCCACTGCTCCCCAGGAGACAGTTTCCCTGTATAGCACGAATATAGGATGAGCATGGGGCATTGATTGCTTCCACAGTGAGGAAGGATTAACCCCGTTTTCTGTGGAATCAAACTCTGCCCTACACTCCTCAATTACCCCTACTTTAATCTTCTGCACAGTGAGGAGTGGGGGAGATACCATTAGGGCAAAGAGAGTGACAACAGGGCAAAAGAATTTAGTAATTCATCAAAAATTAGGTCGAGCTTCCCTCAGACGCAAACCCAAGGGGAGCACAGTAATTGGAAAGATTTTATTCTATGCCTACGGATCATTAAACCAAGTCAAACTCGAGATGATGATGACCAAGGTGTAACAGTACGCATGGCCAGCTTGCCCGATGGAAGGTAACCAGTAGTCTCCCTAATTGGAGAAGAACACCCCAAATCGTGAAAAGCCTCCATGACAAGTGTTGCGACAACAGACGCAATTGATGAAGGTGATGGAGGCAGTGTCAGTGGTGCCTTCTGCAAAACTATCAACAGCTCACCTGCCGCAGGAGGTATCACCGATACTGTTGACGGTGAGCTCGATGCGTGATTGCAAAATCCCCCCGTTTCACTAGATGGCGTCGTGATGCACGCCGGAGCACTCGTTTGAAGAGAGACAGCGCCCAAATTATTTGATATCTCGTTGATGCCCACAGGAGCGTCCGTCATCTTATTGAATGTTAATGAACTTGATGATTGATTGATGAGCGTACATGCCGGGGCAACCATGTGCATAGAAAAAGCTCCCAATTCGTTTGAAATCTCCGTACTGCACACAGGAGCAGTCGTCGTAGATATAGATGTTGTAGTCGGTATAGTAGTGAAAATATGTGATCCTGTTGTAGATGTCGTCACAGATTGAGTGATAGGAGACTGCCCATATGCCGCTGAGTTGACTGACAGTTCTCCGCCCAAGCTCTCCACCAGCGCTGCTCCCTGCGCTGCCTTTCCTGAGTGGATGACAAGAAGCTGATCAGGAGCAGCCATGCTCACTGGCAGCGCCCCACCCAAGCAATTGACCAGGGCAGTCCCCTGAACCTGCCCCTCATCTAACAGCTCATAGCACTGGCTTATAAGATCGTCCATCTGGCGGTGATCGAGGAGGAGATCAAGCATAGGATCGGGTCCCTGCTCTAAACCCCAGACCACCTCCAACATGAGCTCCATGGTACTCTCCACCCAGCGGATCAGGGAGGTTGCTCCCCCAACAACCTCCATCAATTCCGGCGCCGGCGAAGAGAGAGCAGCCACCATCTGTAGCAGCCGGTGCCGACCATCATGCAGGGTGGAGATCCAATGAGCAGCTGCGTGTTGTAGATCGCCTGCAAGAGCCATATCACTTACCTGAAGAGTCTTCGGTCGCTCACTCCTGATTTACCCGCTATCCTTATTGCGCAAGGACGCCCTCTATATGCTGAACGTGAGATGCAATCACCTCGCTTACGCCTCCCGTTTGCACTTTGCACTTCACCTTTCGTCAACCCAGATCGGGTCAACCCTCACCTCGGGGGGCGATGGCGTCAACACACTCGGCGACCTCGGTAACACCGAGGGATGGAGGATCGAGACTGCCGGGCCCGCCGGCCGGCAAGATCCCCGCGTGCTCGCGCTTCGCACCGTTAAGTTTCCATCTACAATGAAGGGCCTGAGGCTAATCCCCACATTAGGCCTGCCGTTCTTGAGGACCCCTGCCTGTATTGTTCCGCCCCTGCTGCAGATTAGTATCCCCTTTGGTCATGGAGTAGCAGGATTGGTGCTACCAAAACATTCGGTAGATCTTGTCATTAAACTTTAAGGAAAAGATGGTGATGATTTGTCCTGGGATGCGTGGTTTTAATTCCGTCATTGCTGTTGAGCGAGCACATGTGGCCAGGGTAATTAGAATGTTATTTTTGGAGTGCCGCCGCAGCCCACATCAGGTCTGTTGTGTGTGGGCGTCCTTTGATCATTTAGAAATTGGGCTGAAGATCTTGAAGTTACCGCAGCGGTGAAGATCGGCCTCAACAGTAGGTCCGAGGCCAGGTGAACTCTGGACCAGGTGCGTCTTTTACTGTCCAAACTATGTACTGCTTTGGGCACTGGGCCCGTGATTTGACTAAATTTCTTCGTTTGAAAGAAAAAAACAAAAATCCCCAATCAAGGGAAACTGTGGCTGTGGCACAATTTTAGTTTGAAATATGTGATGACCCTACCAAACAGGGGCTGAAACACACAGCTGATTTCTGAGTTTTGCTCATGGACTGAGTGCTTTCAATGCTGAGTTTAGGGCTTGCTACTCAGTTCTCTAAGTCTGTGTGTGTGCACGCTTGCTGGTCTGCATGTCTGTCTGAGTGCTTGATGGCTTGAGTGTATGTGTGACCCGCAAGTGCACGTGTTCTCTCGCTGGGCCCTCAGGGCGGTACTTACCTGTGGCCATGACATTGAGGATTGCAGCTGGGAAAACACTCAAGTAGCAGGTAGGCCGGTACCACACTCGGAAGAGGTAGATGTGCCGGGTACTCGAGGCCGAGCAGAAGAAGAAAAAAGTGGCATTTTTAGAGGCCCAGTAGTTGTAGGCTAGGTCTAGGCGGGAACCAGTCCAACCAGTCTGAGTCTAGGGCCTGTACGGGCAATATCAGGGTCTGCAATGATGTTTCCCTCCGGAAGGGAGGAGGTACTGGTTGCTTGGAAGGCCAAGCGGCCTGGAAGTCACCGCCCAAGAGGCAAGCAGGCTGCTATGTCTCCAGGCCGGGCGAAGAGCCCAGCCTCATTGTAGGTGTGTGCAAGTTCGTCGACACACTGGTTGGAGCGCTGGCTGGAGCAGCACTAGCATTCCGCAGCGCTGCTTGGGAAGGAGCAAGGACACGGAGGAGGAAGAAGGCCAGGAGGAAGGGGGAGTGCCAGAGGTACTTACCTGGCTATGGTGGCAGCCATCTTCATCACCTTGGTGGGCGCTGCAGCAGGAAGGTCCCAGCTGAAGGTAGAGCCACACCAAGAAGATTTGAGGCAGAGCTGTGACGCTCAAACCTCACGCCCCGCGCTGTCTTCCATTCGGAGTGTTTTGATTGCGGAAGGGGGCCCAGAAAGGCAGCGAGATGGGGTGTGCCAAGGATTTTTGGAAAGTTAGTGTGGGCACACAGACAGAACTGAAATCCCCTCTGCTGGTCCGACTTAGTAAGCCCCTCGCTGTCTTCCTTATGCTCATCTTCCTCTCATACTCGGTAGTGAAAGCCCTTCGATTGGTAACGCTCGAAGCGGCGACCATCGCTGCACAGAGTGTTAGGCCAATGGGGTGCTCCTGCCGACCACGGGATGACGATTAGCTCATTAAACGGGAAAAAGCAACGAATATGGCGGAAAATGCGGATCTACGATAACAAAACCAGCGCCGACAAATCCAGAGCATAGGGTTTCAGGAGGGAAGTAATATCTTCCGTCGATCTTGGCGACGGCTCCTCGCACGTCCCACTCGCATACACGTGTCCTCTTCTCGTTATACGGGAAAGGGCGTGGCGGGGATGCGAGAGGCCAGGGCCCAGTCGGCTCGGGACAATCGGTCCACCTGGCAATAGTGAAATCTCATCCAGCATGCATTCTACATATTAATCACAACGATCCTTCGACTTAGTCAGAGACACGTCCAGCAGGCAATGACATCATGATATCATCCAAACATTCTCATTCACTTCTCACATACATTCATCAAGGAAGGTGCGAAAATGGCAGCCACACTACACTCAGTTCTCCGTGTGCTCTGCACCCCTACTTCGCGACGGATTAGGCGTTAGTCAGAACAATCATCTCATCCCTTGTGTGCAATAGATCAACAAACATTCATAATCGTTAATGTCACACAGAGAGAAGGTAGGGAGGAAAAGACGCAGAGCAGATAAGATGGATGAAAATTTCACCAAGGTTTGACGATGGAAAAAAGTTTTCGGCTTAACTGCCCCCAGACTGAACACTGCGATCATCACCCCGCCGACTTAATATCGGCGTGGCCTGCCCGGATCCCACAGTCCGTCGTGGCGATCAGGCGCACCGCCGGCCAGGTTACAGTCAGCTCGTCGGGATTCTTCGACTCGCACCCCACACATACCATCTAGCCACTGCTTCCCAGAAGTTGGCAGACGAGTTGAGAGAAAGATTTGCGGGCGCGCTTGTGAAATTTATAGTTGCGGGAAGGGAGGTAGGTACGAGGGAGGGCGAAGGTTGAGTCAGGGAAGGCTGAGAGAGGAGTTGGGGATAATCGCCCGGTGAAAGTCAGGTTGATCCTGCTGAGTCCGATCACAGCCAATCAGAGTCGTTGCGTAATAGGAGTTTCTCCTTACACGSYRCCTCTSCTTGGCKGRACGGAGTGGGGAGAGGATCGACCTGGCTCTTGGGCGTAGGACTCAGGGTGGGAGGAAGAAGGGTGCGCAGAAAATAGATCCAAGATTTAGATGATCAAGAAAGAGAAAAGGCACGCGGGGAAGGAAAGAGAAAGAGAGAGGGAAAAACGGTTACGGCAGGAAAGTGAGCGCGGGCGCGAGGGGAGCATCGAAGATGGCGAGGGGAGCAGAAAGGGGGAAGCTCGCTTGCATGACGCCGATCACAAATGCAAAAAGAGGCACCAAAACAGTTACAGATTCCTAAGTCCTATACTAATTCAAAAATTGAAATCATCATATTCGCGCGTAAAGTAGGCGCAGGAAAAGACAGTCCTACATTCATTCGTATTCCCATCAAATTCCCAGAGTTTTCCTCGACGTACTCGACGTAGTCGAGAAAATTCATGCACAAAAAGGACACGTCGGGTTCCGTTATTTCGTAATTACTAACTGTTGGGCCAAATTCCTAGCACACGTACTAAAGCGCGTGCAATTCCCATGCATTTCCCAAATTATGAATACTGAATTTCAAGAATCAACACGGGTCTCAGCAAGGCATCTTTAATAAAAAAACAGAGAGGGTCCTTGTTGGGCCGAACAAAGGCCGAAAAGAAAAAGAGAGAGAAGGGGTCTGGAAGATGGCGCAGGCTCAGAAGCTAGTCCGTCACATATGTGACGCTCAGGGGGTTCCAAAATTATGCGATCTCCTGATTGCATGCAAAAAAGCTGGTTTACATGGCGGAGGAGGAAGAAAGGGGGCGAGAGGATGAGTGAGGAACCCAGCGTATCAGAAGGGAGATCGTCTTCATTAGCGCAGATGATTGAGCCAGAGTTCATGTTGACGCAAACGTCAATTGCAATACCTTCGCGAGTCTGCTGGCTCGTGCTGCTAGTACCCCTCATATCCAGTCTTGTCATAAGCAACTCTCTGATTTGAGGTGGCGCTATCATGGTCCGCCGTGTACTTCACTGGTGCGGCTGCGTCATTCGAAGTTCGTCCGGCGGTAGTCGACAAGGAGAGGGTTGTGGAGGAGCCGTGGCCATTCGGGTGGGAGCGGAGGGAAATAATCCGCAACTTCGTTACCGAGGTCGACGAAGTGGACGATCCGGTGCGCACGGGGGAATTGATGATTGGGTCGGGACAGGGATAGGATATAGTCGGGGTATAAAGAGGGGATGGTATGGAGGACATTGTCCTGTAGGGACTCATAATCTTCCATAGCGGGAAAAGTTCCGGAGATAATACAATACAACTCCATATGGTTGTATTGTCTCCATGCAACGCTGAAAAGGAGGATGTTGAGAGGGAAGGAGGGAGAAAGATGGGGGAAGACTGAAGTCGTGCAGTGAAATGATGACAAAACAGTTGGTTAGTGAAGATACGGTAATTTAGGGGGAATTCAATGTGGGCATTGTGGGGGAGAGGGGAGAAAGAGAGGTTATCAAGGGGGCGGCGGAAAACGGGACAAGGACGGAACGTCCAGGCTGAGAGGAGAACGGGACAGAGCGTGGAGGGGGCGGATGAGGGAGATAGTGAGAGGGAACGGCGGCACCGGCGGGAGGTTGTCGCGCCATCGTATCGACTGGCCGCGTCCAAGGGAACTTCGGGATTCAAAGCGGATCCTCCCCGAATGGCTGGTAATGCTCGAGCTGGAGGAGCCTCCCGGGGCTCAGGTGTGGACGCCTCTTCTTCCTCTTTCGAAGTTGACCGGGCCTCCGACTCTTCCTCCTCTAATAGCCCCGCGATGGCTAGGCGACCTGGTTCGCCATCCGACGACACTTCCCCGTTCTCCTAATGAGCCTTCCAGAACTCGTCAAAGTCAGAGTTATCTGGCGCGAGCTCGTTGAGGTCCAGGAAGCACCAAGCCGTGGGGTCGTGATCGCTCATTGACAAGTACTGTCCGAAGTCCTCCGTGCAGTTCGCCCAGATTACGGTTGGCGTCAACTTTCTCTCCAAAGTCACGGGTTCAGCCTGACTTGGATCGCTCGCATTCAAAGAGATGATGTCCGTCGGCAGATCGTCGACGAGTTGAGACAAAAACGTGAGAAGTTCGTAG